TGGGTGCTGTGAAGCTAAGCGGATTGCAAGACTACGGTGGAGCAAACGACAGGCTCTTATTTTCATAGTTAAAGTACTAACTGTTTTGCTATTATTATTATTATTATTATCATCCTCGTAGCTGCCACCTGAAGTGCTTTTGGGGAAATATTGTCAATACCGGTCGCTGAACTAGTAGTGACATGTGTGAATATTGGCGTCTGGGTGAATGAGACAGATATGTGACATGCTGGTGGTGCGTCGAAATATTGAAGCATATTGCAGCCGTAGAACGTTGGCTGCATCCTCCGCAGTCTGAGCACATCCATTTGCTGAGGTAAGTGGGGGGGGGGACACTACGCCTCACATTCCGGAGGCTGTTCACATGTTTGTAGAGAAGCTTGCTGTTAACACAAAACCTCTCTGCTAAGCTCGACTGGTAAACTGATTTGTGCTCGCGTACATTTGTGGTACAGTGATTACGATGCACTACACAATAGATCCAGTTTTCAAGATTAGGGTTCACCATATACACATGCCACGCTGCGTCTCTTAACGCCATGCGTTTTCGAGTTCTGTTCCTAATGACTGCTTGTGCTCTAGTAGAACGAATGGGGACTGTTTACAGACGCGGATTTAATCAGTTCGCCGAACATCCCGGCAAACTCCGTCCATGTCTTATCAATGGAGCAATTGTCCGAAAAATTCCAACTGTCATCCCCAACAAGTGCTGTGAGTGTGTCGTAGTGTGTGATGGTTCGAAACAAGTCACTATGTTCGACGTTGAGGGTCATAGTGTACACGTTGCGTGGATGAATTGTGGTGCGCAATCTCAATGTTGAGCGCGATTCCCATTGAAGTGAAGCTTGGTCTTTCGATCACGAGGACCGTAGCTGATGCAACTAGAAATTGGGTGTCTTCGAGTGTCTTCGAGCGAGCAATACCCAAAGTCACTATGTTCTCGTGGATATTCTGCATAACACACATGGTCATAAAGTATTGTTACATGATCACTTCGCCTCAGAGGGCTCTCTATCATTGGTTTCATGATCATGAGCTCTTCGTTCGTGAGCACTAGATCATCACAGATGGCATATTTCCCGTTCTGAATCTGGTGGGCGAACAGACATGGCTGAAGAGAAGAATACTTGCAATAAGCTCTATCAGGTCTGCCTTGAATTGTTCGTTGGGTGAAGCCGGAACTTCCAAATCGTAAACATTACAGTCGCCGGATATCAGAACATGGTTGTATCGTTGTCGAAATACCCTCCCCAATACGAATGTCAGGTAGGAGTCCATCTCTGGGGTAGACATTGGGGGACGATAAACAACTGTTAACTGCGCCTTAGTCGCAGACTGCACCAGAGCGAGTCCCTGAGCAGCGTTTCCGGATCGTCCACCGGTTCGCACTGCAGGTAATTACGCTAGTATAAAATTCCCCACTGCAATTACAGGGGCGATCGTTTCGAATTAGGAACATGCCATGTACCTGGACTTCAGCGTCGGTGATTTCTGATGACAGCCCTTTCCGTTATGGATATGAGAGCGCAGGCGTATGATGCATGACGTAGCCGTAGTTCGGTAAGCTTGCTCAGTAGACCATGTGTATTGGTGTACATGCAAATAAGTATCTCTGTTCTTAGCAATGAGTCGTGAGATGTGCGTTTTGTGTATGCTGTTGTGCCGACCCGTGAAAGGTTGGCAAACAAGCGTTTTTTGGAAAAGGTAACGAAGAACTCATCCGTGTCAGGCCTAGAGATCCCGCTATTATATCTATGCTCTTCTCTTTAAATGTAGTGTCTGGGGTGTGTTTGCCAGTTTCATTGGGTAAATGAGTAAAGCCATCCGAACTGTTACCTGGAGGTGATAAGATTAAGTGGCTGCTTCCGTGTGTTTGCTAAAGGGAAGTTGCCTTGATTCGGAGCTCGGAAGGCTGCTACGGCCGGCATGGTTTGCGGCATCCGGTTTCGGATTTGCCTGTCACTGTGGCAAGCCACAGGACGCCTGCGCCTACAGAGGGACCATGGGTGGCTTGCGCTGCACCACCCACAGCTCCAACCACACACCCCATATCCAGTGTAAACCCGAAGGAATAAGACCGGGAAGCATGTGGATGGGAGCCACGTTTCATCAATGGAGCCGGCCCACACTCCTTCACAGGCAAACACAAGCATATTGTATTTGGGAATCAAGCGCACACAAGGCGGTGGCTGGACCGTAGTCCGTTCCACACTGAGTGCATGGAACCGCTCTTCGAGCCTAACACGGTCACAGAGACCATGCACATCATCCCCTGCAAGCAACGACCAACTGTTTCCTGGAGCCAGTATGGACGAGGTAGTGGGTAATAGACAGGTAGGCACCTTGTCAACTCCCACATCAAGCGCAGCCACACCGTGGATATCAAGCAACAGCCGATCACATGAAACGACGAGATCAAATAAAATAAATCGAATAATGCATAAAGATACGGTGACATAACTCTTCAGTAAATGAGCAAATGAAATAAATTGGTTGCCGAAAAATCCGCGATAGGTTCAAGAGGCCAGAAAATAGATTTAAAGCAAATGCCACAAACGCGAAAATGTTATCCAGGTTAACTACCATTTACTGGAGCCATGTGTGCAGGTTAATAGAAGATAGCTTAGTTCACGTAGAAATTAATAAGACAAGATGGCAAACCCACCAACTGAAATAGAGACCCAGTATGCAACTAATCGGTTAGTAAATAGAATGCAA